CCGCGGCAAGGACGACATCAATGAACAACGAAAAAAATAACAGCGACGTCACTGCCGATCACCTACGACAATTGAGCCGCTTCACTGCCGATCACCCACGACGAGGAGAAGCACACTACCGTCGACTACAACAACAAACACCTACAGACGAGCCGTCCGCCGCTGCAAACCCTGCGAGATAACTCTGCGCGTATTCGCGAATGACGCAAGCGCTGCGACTCGACGACGGACGCACACGGCTTCTGTCTATACACGCGAGGCGGAGTGGCGCGACACGCACGATCAAATGTGTTTCATCCGCTCCGCAAGGGCATTGCGGAGCGCGTGTGCGGCATCCGTCGATGTTAGCATCGTCACTGGCTGCGGTGGACGATGAATCCCCAGGTCCACTCGCCGCCTCACCCCGTTCTCGTCGACCTCCCACAACAAGTTCTCGTCGAACTCGATCCCAGCATCGAGCAGGATGTTGTGGAGAATGCAGACGGCCGTGAACTGCTGCGGTAGAGTGTCCAAGTTCGTCTTGTGCGACCGCAGGAAGAGCCTCCACATCCCCTTCAACCTCCCGAACGCCCTCTCCACAGCACCTCTAGCAACCTTTTGTTTGTTGTCGAACCTTTTCTCGTCCGGGTGCTGATTGATTCCTCCGTACGGCACCACTATCCATTCCGAAGGAGGATACCCGTTGTCGCCCAAGATGTATCCGTTCGTCCTCACCCCTCCCGGCAGCGTCACAGGCGGCCCGGGAAAAAGCGTTCCCTCTTCCGCGCGCCTCGACAGACTTGACAGCTGAATCACCCGAATGTCGTGGCAGCTGCCCGGGTAGCCAACGAAGATGTCAAGCACGCGCAGATGAGTTCTCGCTCGGAGCGTTCGCCGGAGAAACGGTGCTTGCGGTCGAAGTAGTTCTCGCTCGGAGCGTTCGCCGGTTTGTCCACGTAGATGTGTGTGCAGTCAACTGCGCCATGGCAGTTGGGAAAACCCTTGTCTTGAAACGCCCGTAGCACCACGTGTTTACGCACCCCTGTCGGCCACAATATCTTGTCCCCGTAGACCCGCAGCAACGCGGTTGTCACATCGCGCACGGCTCGAACTCCGGATGCTCTGCCAATGCCGAACGACGATGTGCTGTTGTCGTACGACTCTCCTGTTGCCCACCTATACAGCGCGTACGTGACAATCTGATCTGGCTGAAGCGGCTCCCTGTAGAACGTGACCTGTCGTTGCAAATGAGGCGCACAGGCTTTGGTGATCTCCATGAACACTCCCCTCGACATGGGGAGCTTTTCCCGGAAGTAGTCATCCGTCGCGTCGTCGCACACCCGCAAATCCTCCCAAGTCCCGCCAGTTCTCCGCCTCATCCACCAACGTGGCGTCGCCCTGGGAAGCACACCGGAGCCGATTGCAGCGCACAGCTGAACCACGGCCTCCGAAGTCGTGATGCAGTCCGGGGCGTCCAACACCCTCTGCAGCAGAAGCCTGTGTCGCCGTCTGGAAAGCGCTGCCTTCATGCGGCCCACCGCCCTCTCCGCTTCATATCGACAGACTACGGCAACGGCTGCCGTCGCGACAACTGTCCTCTCCGTCGGCGACAGCACAACATGCCCACCCCCATCACATCCCTCCATTCGCGCACGTCCACGAGGAAGAGCAACGTCCACCGCCACCCACCTGCGCGAAGCAACGTCCACAGCGACGATCGAAGACGCCTACAACGAGGTGTGGAAGACAGGCGTGATGACAAAACATACACCGCGATGGGAGCGTTCGTCCTCCGTCCCTGAACCACGGAAGCACCGCCCGCATGCACGTGGCGAGCGCAGGAGAGGAAACAGACGATTCATTTTGCCCGCGACGAACACACTGCACACGGTGGCGACGTGGTGCCGCTGAAGTACGAAACGCGACGTCAAGCCTGCACGCCCGTCCCCCAATCGACGTGCCCTTCCGCCTGTGCGCCGCCACACCGTCGTTCTGCGCGGAGAAATTTTGAATTTCAAAATTCGAACGGGGCCGTTCCCGCGTTCGCAATTTTTTTCTTTCCACGGCCCGTGACATTTTGCCGCCGTCCGGCTGGTGGACCAGCGCGCCTCGCACACGGACATCCCGAATCGGAGGTCAGACAACACCCTCGCGGCCGCCTATAATCTCATGAAACTGGCCGCGGGACGGCCCCGAGGACGCATCCTCAGGGCTACTCTCTGAGGACAGGTGGAACGACGCCTACAAAAATAAAAAAAAACTCCGAGGATTCATCCTCGGAGCTCGAGGACGCTCCGAGGAGTGTCGAACGACGCCCTATGATTGTTTTTTTTTTTGGGTCTCTCTTTTTTTGTGGATTAGAAAACGAAATTGAAGCCTTCTTTTTTTTTTTTTTTTTTTTTTTTTCCC